ATTCTTCAATAATCTTGTTGAAGATGCATGAACCACGGTAATTGCAGGGTATCAGAAACTTCTAATTATGCTTTCACCGTAATTTAAATTAATATTTTTTAAATGTAAAGACAATTTCTTCAATTAATTTCTGGATGAGAATTTAACATAAAACAAAAACCTATTCAAGAAAATATGTAAATTTAGGAGAAATTTGTGTTTGGCTTTTTCAAATGCATTGTAAAACCTGCTTTTAAAGAAACGTTTGGACAGAACACAGACTACATGATGCTGAAGTCACAGTCAGATGCACTGTTCATCCATCCACTGAGCTGGGCTAAGACAGTAGTGTGCTATCAGTGCCTCCCAGCACTGCTGCTTACCACCCAGCGTTTCCATTCCTTCAGTGTGCTGGCACAGTGACATTCATTTACTCTGCACAAATGTTTATTTAGTTTAAGCAATTAATACTGCTAACAATTTAGGCTTTTTCACTTCATCTATCTTGACAAAATTTAGACCTGGAGAGAAGCTGATCATGTGGTTATGCTGGCACAGCAAAAAAGGTGAATATCTCCGTCTAAGAGAAGGGGATGTGACAAGCATTTGGGACAGGGTGGATGAGTTCAGTTCAACACAGCTGAAATAGCCACAATCTGAAGGATGACATCTCAGCAAAAGCTACTTATCTCATTTGCGTGCTTCTACAGGAGTGTTCAGACACTGTTTTTTATTTGGGCTCAGTGTTACTATGGCCTTTATTTTGCCTGCCAGTGCTAAAACTCTTGTTTTCAGTGGAGTTTCTCCAGATTAAGAAGTCAGATCAAAATAATCAGGCAGCAAATCAATAAGTTTGCTAAGTTTAATAGCAAAGGTCCTTTACCTAGACACTCTAACTCCTTTTCCAGTAAAAGCCTATTAAAATGATAGTAACATTAGCAGTGTGGGAAATCACTTGTGCATACACGTTGATGAAACGAAGCATATGGTGTGTCTTGACTTGCCATTTTCTGTTCAGTTGGGAATATCATCATTAACTAATCATCAAGCCTAAATACTAAGCCTATAAAATGATTGGCATTTATAAAGGTAAATATTGCACAATGACTGTTCAAATGCTGCTTTTGTTACAAGAGCTATTACAACTGCTGCAGACAGTGATATGTTGCCAGCACTGACACTGAAGCGTACTAAATATTAAGTCAAACTTTGTCACAGATTTAAAGGAGATGCTCAAAAGATGGGTCCCAGGATAAAAAAAAACAACAACTTTGAAGAGAATATGAAAAGGAGCTATCAAAAATTAAACTTGTAAAAGTCTGGAAGGGTTGCTGGGATGATTGGTTTTAAGGAAGTTTTCTGTGCTTATTCTCTTATCCAAGAAATATGAAAAGTGTCCGTTCTGGTTTTGCTAAGGCAGCTCTTCTGGGTCATAGAGTAAGTATGGCTCTCACATTGTCCATCTCAGCTGCTTAGTCTTGGAAAATATCTTTCTCTCTCCAGACAGTCTTAATTAATTAAATTTAGTGAGCTGAACATACACACAAATTGTTTTAATATTATTCTGAGAAAATTCAATATAAATTATGCTGAATTAAAAATATGTATTCTTATCAATATTTAAGATGACTTTTCTCCATTCAAACCTAATTTGCTAGTAGTAACTAAAAAACAATTAACATTTTTCCCTAAGGGAAAATGAAAAGGTTTTATACTCTGTAGGTTTAACTATCTTCTGTGGGGTTCCTCCCTCTCTAACTCTTCTTGCAGAAGAATTAAGCCTCCCCTAGCTTTAAAGCTCCCTGTTTGTGAATCAAGTGAGAGATGGAGTATCATGTAGCATATAAGACTGTTTAACAACTTCAACATTTCCTATGTTTTATGAGTAATCTGTGGTCTGAAATTAATCTGTGGTCTGAAATTAATCTACAGCAATATTAGCTAAATTATTAATAATAATCCAATTTCTTAAAATTGTAATGACATACATGTCATAATATGTCTGTTTTCAGATAGCTTGTGAGGAGGAAAGCGGATTAATTTTAGCAAATAGATTATATATAGCAAACTGTTCATCTTGCTGTAACAATTATAGTAGCTGTTCTTTTTCTGTTCTTTTTTTGGTTTCTTGACTAGAAATACAGCATGTAGATTTTAAAATGTACACATAAAAAGAAAATGTAATCTTGTCTGTGAAGTGAGTTTATCCCCGTTGTCACCATTCTTACTTTAGCTAATAGTTTTTCAACTTGCGGTTTCTTAGATGGCTGAATCATCTGCAAATTTGACCATGGTTTTCTGAGACGTTACATCTCTAAAATGGGCTCATTAAAACTGCACATCGACAAATGATAGTGTGTCTAATGATAATCCAACATCGAAGTTTTCACAAATGTTTATTCAGCCAAAATATACGTATTTTCAGCGGAAAAAGGATTTGTAAAACCTTTCATACATTACCTATATATATATATATAGGTGTGTGTATATATATATATAGGTGTATATATAGGTGTATATATATACAGGTGTGTGTGTGTGTATATATATATATATATATAAACTTGCTGTTACCTGTGGCTGGATTATCCAGATTCTGAATAACTTATAGTACATGCTGCATTTGAGTTGCTAGGTACTTTCAGAATCACTACCACTAGGGAGAACAGTGAACAAATACTTTTCCTGATGTTGTGTGAAGTTTTTCTGGCTAAATAGATTTTATTAACTGTCAAGCCTAGTGAAAGTCAAACCCAGGTGTCCTTTTTCTGGAGACAGCATGAGCCTAAAAGTCTGAAGAATATTGTCTGTATTTTTCCTTTATTCCTCACCCTCTCCTTTCCAAAAGTGGATTATTGACAACAGATTTTTCAAGCCATCATCTGGAAAACTCTTTTCTCTTAAAAAGAAACCTATTCCAGCAAGTATTCTAATCTGACAAACACTTCCTAATATTATTCCAATAAAATAAATTTTGCATCAACATAAGCATAACCATTTGTAAGGACAAGCAGTAATCTTTTGAGACAAATTTTCACATTTTGGGACTATAAGATATTTATTAACTGACAGAGACTGGAGTCTGTAAGCATCATACTTGAGTTTATCTGTGTTTTTCACCCATCTTCTAGGCCTGTGTATTTTTAATACATTTTATTTAACAAGACTTTTTTTTTTTAGTCAAGCATGTTGTTATAACTACCAATCCAAATAAAAATAGAACAAAGCAGTGATCAAACTTTGACACAGTTAAGGTGAATTAAGAGTTCAGATTAATGGTATTCAATCATCAGATTTGTCCAATAGGCAATAAAATATAAATGTGGTGTTGACACTGAACATTACTGGTTTGAATTAACTTTGGAAAATGTGAAGAGAAGCTTCTTCCCCTTCAGTCCTGCGCTCCATCTGGAATTTCAGCCCACTGTATTTGCCCTGCTGTCACAGGACATTATACTGAGAATCTTCACTTTCATCTTACACTTTTGCCAGTCTAGATTCACAAAGCAGCTGATAAAATCGACTCATTTTAAGGAAGTATAATTATTCCTGTGCCTTTTTAACATTTTTTACTTGAAATCATTGTCAGTTTGCTGTTCTCATTTTCCCATTTCACATGATAACTTAGGGGTGACACTACAGTTGTGATGGTTAGGTAATGCACTGTAGTTTTTGAGTAACACCACCTTTCAGTCTAGAAGAAGCCATGCAGTAATTCAATGACAGGGTGGTGATTACTTTTAGTAAACTGTTAGAAGTGTAGTTCAGAAACACACACATTCACATTAACATGTACATATATTAATGAAAAGTAAGAAAAAAGGTAAAGAAAAAAGTCGGTTTTTTTTTTAATATTTCTGGGGATTCTTTTTTAAATGGGTGGTCAAATATTATCTGCAATTTCAAGCTCAATATTTTAACTTATGGTGGATCTTATTATGTTGCAAACTGGTCAAGCTGGTGACAAAAGTCTTTTATCAATTATTCACCAGGAATAACTGTCCAGGGAAAACACATAACTGTGGCTGGTGGAGCAAGAGAATTGCTTTTCTCTGTTTCATCTCTGCATAATCCTTTGTATAAGGATTACTGCCCTTTTACTCTGGCTGAGCAGCTTCAGTGTGAATTACGTTGGGAGGACTTCTCAGGACTCAAGTGTGTTTGCTTGTTATTGCAATCCAATCCCCTCAAAAATATCTTTGTATCTTTAAATCATGCTAGAAATGCAATCACAAATAACACTAGATTTTACCAGTCATCAACTCTAATAGAAAGGAGATGATAATTCATAAATCTATAAAGCGAAACAGGTGGAAGGTCTCTATGCCAAGAAATTAATCTCTGTTTTCAGCTGAGTAAGTAGGCGTAGGACCCACAAAAAGCCAAAATCACATATTGTGAAAATTTTTCATGTCTGACATCTCACCATTTTCTTTAGGCATTTCAGGTTCTAAATATTTTAAAACTACTGTGGACTTTTTAACTGATATAGTAAAACTTACTTAAACATAACTTTGCAATTTTTCTGTAATTTCAATTACATTTATTAAAATTAATCCTACAAGTTAATTCAAATCTGGGACCAAATTTGTCATTCTTTTCTAAGAGAATAAAATACTGCTCTGTGATGTTCACTTCCGTCCTTATCACTCCCTGCATTTCATCCTTCAAACAGGAGCCTGTGGGGTCTATTTTGTTGAGAGCAAGAGGTGTTTAGAATGGTACCCCTGTAAATCATTCAGTGTGAAATTTGGGAAGGAGAATCCCTCAGGAATTGAGCAGAAGCAACTGATTGATCTTTGTAGGGTAACAGGTGGTTTAGCAGCAAATTGCAGAACTACAAAGGGAATACTGCTTAATGCAGGTGTTTAGCATCTTTAAACTTGTAATCTCTGATTCTGTTGGTATTTATTGAATTAATGAAAAACGTATTTTCCTCCCTCTTTCATATTTTAATATACGCTGTTAATTTCATTTGGTGGTTCTGATTCCATATGTGGTTTTGAATCTTAATTTTTCAGGTGGATGTTTTTCAAATGGAAGCAGTAGATGTTGGAACTCTGAAAGAAGTAGTGGTTGAAAAAGGGAAAGGCACTGACTGGCTTCTGGAGAAGATTATTGTGAAAGAGTCAGCAGCTTCAGGGACAGAAACATTGTTTATTGCTCAAACGTGGCTAAAAGACAGACGTGATGGAAAAAGATTTGCCTCAGTAACTCTGAATGCCACAGGTCGATATTATCTTCAAACTACCATTTGCTAAGAAATTAATTCAAAGCTGCAGAATGCAGTTATGTGATTTGCTTCTATAAACAAGTTATGGTTTAAAATGTTTCGGTAGAACATTGTCAGTTAGTGCATCTGAACATTGTTGGGTTTTAGTACCATTTAATAACTACTATTTGCCAGAAGATAACTTCTGCTTTGTTAATCCAGATTTACAGTGGCATAAATGGAAAATAATGTTGCTTATTCTTTTTACAAACTAATGCCTCTCCGAGTCTTCTACTTTGCCACTTACACAAACAATTTTTTAAGCTTCAAATACCTCTTCTGGCTACTTGCTAGGCATAGTGAAAATAAGGTAAATAGTGGGGGCAAACTGTGTTTACACAGTAGAGAAAATGCCTCCATTGTATTCAGAAGACTGTTTTACATTATTTGTGCCATGCTGTTTGGATAGCTTTTGCCAGAATCTGGACATACTTTTAACGGGCACCATGGGAGTAATCAGTCCAGAGAGGAGCAGTTTTGACCTGACCCCACTGCTTATGACTGACTGCAATCTTTGTCAAGACAAGAAGGGAATGCGTACCCTACTTCACTGTGCTGTGGTTTCAATACAAGCTCAGTTTGGTGTGCACAGCACACCCCAACTGAGACAGTGGGTAACGGAAGCCCAGAATGCACCTTTAAGGCTGATTTCTTATGACCCTGCCCCTGAGAGAAGTAAATAGAGACTGTAGATGAGTCCTTAAATTACAGAAAATATTTTAGCTCTTTTTTCCTCCTAATTATGAGGGCATATCTGCTTGTTGTAGTTTAGTTTGCATGGTGGTGCTTGTCCAGCAAGAGCCTATTGAGAATGAGTAGAACCACAGTGCAATCCATTTCCTCTGCTCTATCATCTCTAACTTTTGATCATTTGAAACCTGGCGAGAAAAAGAGGAAGCTATTATGGTGGAAAAGCAAATAATTTCTGCTTTCTTTTAGATTGTATGTTAGGACTTTTCTGAATAAAATATAGGAATGTTTAGTGTGTTTAAGGCTATATGTATATGTTTCTGTTTCTACTAGAATGCACTGATTTGGTAAAAGAAGAAAGTGAGGTTTATTATACAGTTGACAAATCCAAACTTGGTTGTGCTCTCAAAATAAGGATTTTCGTCTTTAGTTCAGGCATCTATCAAATTATTATAAGTAGTTTTGGTCTATAACAAATCCCACTGAAATCAGTGGGAACTGCTAGCAGTGGGAGGAACATCAGCTGCTAAAACGGGCATTAAATACATCCAATTATGTCTGATATATCCAGAGCGTAAGTTGTATACATGAAACAGAAGTTATTTAAAATGAAAAATACTTGAATCTTCACGTCACAGTGGTTTCATAGTAAAAAGCTAGCTCTAGAGTCAGTTGATTAAATAGGATGATATGTAGAAAATGATGCTTAAGTAGAAAATCACATTGTACATTTCCTAGTTAAATCTTTAATCTAAATGATATAATACTCAGTCAATTGCCTCAGTAGAGATGAATACAGGCATTTATTATCATTTAGACACTGTTCTACAAAAGTATTAATTTGGTCTTCAATCTTTTTTTTTAATTAGAAATTCAGGAGAGAAAAAGCAGTTCTGCCTGGCCTTTAGGAAAAGAGCAAATGAATTCAGGTATCTCTTCTGCCATTACATTGACTGTTTTATTCATTCGTTCTGAAATAATAATGTGAGAATATTTTCACCACAATACATCATTACGCTTACTAGTACGTCCCCCTTTGTAACAGTAAGAAATGGAAATATACACAGGGAGCTGATCAGCACCAGATGAAGTGCTTATAATATTAGCGCTCCTCATGTAGGCTAAGATATGTCTTGGCAATTTTATCTCAGGTACCCTAGCTAAAATGTGAAAACAGAAACATCTTTAATCTATTTTTTTCTTTTTATTTTCCTTATTTTGTTTGTTCAGAAGGCAGATGGAGGATTTATTTCACAAAACATGAAGAAGAAAAATATACAGACTTTGAAAAGTTGTCAGAAATTTTATCCAAGTTGGTTATGGTTTTTTATGGAAGCAACGGCAAGTCGAATCTAGTTTCCATGGAAAAGAAAGTGGAGCATCGGGCTAAGAACCAAATAACATATGATGTAAAATAATCTATACATTTGTCTATATTTAAATTTTGAGTTTATTTTTAGAGAGAAATAATCATGTAGTGCTGTAAATATTGCAGATATTATTGTTAAAATATTCAAGAAAAGCAGAACTGAAATTTTCAGTTTCAAATTAGATTTCATTTTTAATTTTTGGCTTTCTCAAGTTCATGGTGATCAAGGGTAGTCTATCTTTTTTTTTTTTTTGACAACAAATAGTCATAGTTAATAATGCATATCAATTTAAACGGCATTAACAGTAACTGTGCACATTTAGAAATCAGTGCAGTATGTAATTTGAATTTGATAGAATAATTACAATGAATGGCCCTAGAGTACAAAGCTAATAGTTCCATAAGTGCTTACATTCAACCTGGTTCTGCTGCCTTTGAACTCAGCGGGACTTTTAGCACCAAGGCTGATGCAAATAGGGCTAGGTCCATGCTGATCCCTTTAGAGAAAATTTCCCCTCTTCCTAAATTAGCTATGCATATACCTATATATCTCTGTTGAGATGCTAAGTCCTTGTTTCGTTGCTTCCTAGATACACTTACCATCTGATTTGGGAATGCTTTATAAAGTGAGATTTGGTCTCCAGAGTTTGGAAAACAGCATATCCCAGATGTATCCTTGTTACTTAAAAATGCAGAACACGTCAACCCTTGATACCTTTCGTCTCACCATAAATAAAACACTTCCTCTTTCTTTTAATGGAGACAGATGGATTGAATTCCCTGTAGAGTGGCCATTAAAAGAAGCACTTTCTGGTAGGTACAAATCTACTTTAAAGTGGTAGAGTGATCCAGGAGGTTAACATGTCCTAATATGACAATTGAAACCTTTATCAAAACAAAAAATTTTATTGTCTTTTTTTAATGATTCATAAAGTCTGGATAAGAATTTAAAATGTATGAAGGAAAATACTACCCACTCAGCTTAATTTTTGTACCATAAAGTGGGAAATGAAATATTCATTTGATTACACATAACTATTATTATATGCTCCAAAGAACAGTTTGTAAGAAACATACCTTTCTTGCAATATTGTAATATTTCTAGTCTCCTTTGTTTCGTTCTCAGCTGCTTATCTTACTCACATTGACAATATGATTTTTTATAGCTCATTCGCTATTAAACAACTTTTTTTTGTTTGCACATTCCAAAGATTTTCAGTAAATAACAGTTCAAAGCTACATATAAGCATCAGCTTTACTACCTTTATCCACTACAAATATTTATGCCTGTTAAAATTAGCTCAATTTCCTTATGAATGTCACCTTTGTTAAGCAAAATAAAAGAAAGGTTTTCATCTGAAATCCACTATATCTTCCATATTCTTCTAATGCTTACTGAATGCCACCATATGAGAGAACAGTCCTCAAGTCAATTAAACAGACTAAATAATGTTATTTAATGTTCAAATTATTTGTGCCTGAGTTTTAGGCAGAAAACAAATGAGTTTCCTCGGTAAAGAATAAGTCAGTTCATCCAAAGAGTGATGAAAAAGGTGTTAAATCAACAACCTCAACATGCTTTTGGACTGGAATTCATGGCTATGTTTCAGTGAGGTGTTTGCATGTGTCTAAATGTAAGCATGAAAATAATTTCAGTAGGATTAAGAGGGCTTTGGGGTTGTTGTTTTTTTGGTTTGGTTTTTTTCATGATTTGTCTGCAACTGAAAACTTAAATTTTGTATTTAGGCTTTAGATTTTATATAGCTTAGAGCTGTTATTTTCACTTGAAGACTTGTACAGTACAGGTACAGAACAGGGCTTAATGGCTTCAATCATACAGAAGATTGAAACAAAGAAGACCGTCAGATTAACATAAAGCACATAAATATGCCCTTTGCAAAAGCCTGATTGCTGTCACATGCAGAAATATTGATGATACATTACTAGCACACTGAAATGGTGAGAGAGAGATGCAGTGTGGTTGATAAATGGTTAGTGAGACTGGAACCCTCATGATCTTGCCTCAGACTCTGGCTCTATCACCGATAAATGGTTAGTGAGACTGGAACCCTCATGATCTTGGCTCGGACTCTGGCTCTATCACCGACCTCTAGGTTAAAAAAATAATTCTCTTTTTTTTATTTTGTAATATTTTCTTCTTTGTAAAACGTTTGAGATCAAGAGATTAAAAAAAAATCTCAAAAAAATAAAAGGAATAGATATTATATTACCTATGTGTTTAGGTAAAAGAGCCAACCAAACAAAACAGCTTATCTGTTGCACTTATTTCTTCCCACACATGCTTTAGAAGTCTTCAAGGAGGGATTTGTAACGACAATGGGGGAAAAAAAAAAAAAGGACAGTGAAAAAACATATTCCCCCAAATCTTTGCCATTTTATGTCCAAGAAAGCAGCTCCACAGCAGGTGGCATACATGGAGTTCAAAAGGATCCTTTACACACAAACTGACTTGAAATTTATGGTGCAAAACAGATCTGCTTTTCTGTCAGCTCTCTAAATCTAATATATGTTTTCTTGGTTTTCTTTTTCTCAGCTAAAATCAAACCCAATGTTGTGTTAATTTGAATGAAAAGCAGCTGATTGTAATCACCTTAACCAGAAGCCATATGCTGTTCAATTTCAGATACAGCTCTGTCACTCATAGATTGCCTTAGTATTTCATTTCTTAGTTATCTTTTCCTTATTTTGTATTTGGGATTGTGACGAAGCATATACTAATGGCTAACTGAAACCATCAAAACAGTTGGTAAAGTACTGTGCAGACCCTCGAGATCTGGCTGTGCACTCATGTGCCTTTGGGTATATTAATGGAGAGAGGCCTCCAGCTGACTACATAAATAAACAGTTCCTCTTCACTATACCTTCCTTTGAGATGCTTACACCTCAAGAATCCCCCAGGAGGAAACAGCGTTCTCTTTCCCTCTCATACAGGGCTATACAGAAGCTGAATTTTTCAGTACTATAGCTTTTAAGGCAAAACAAATAATGAAAAGGTGAAATAAAGATGTATTATGCTACTTTCAAATAGCTATTTCCACAAAGTTAACACAAAGCCATAATTCACACTAAGATTATGAAAGCATTAGAATTTTATATAATTAATGGAGTTGCAACATTCATATATGTTATCATTATATGTAAACTTCTGTTCAGAGATTTATTTCATCTTTTATCTTTCCAATCTATTCAATACACTACAGAGATAAAAGGTTACTTGCCCACATTTGCCCTATTATGGTGTGATCCCGCTACCTGAAAAAGACTATCATTTGAGCATTTTAGCCTCTATTCTCCTCCAATTGCCCTTCTGCGTAGAAGGTACTCTGCCTGTTCTATCCACTGTATAATCTGATCCAAAGTTCATTTAATTCAGCATGTTAAGGCCACAATAAGACAATAGATCTTACTTGCCTTGGCCAGACTCACCTGGAACCTCCAGCTGTATTGGGCACAGGGTGTCCTTTTCAGATCATGCCTGAGCTACACCAGATGTGCGTTTGTCCTTAGCCCTGCCTCTGATGCTGTCTTCTGGATAAACCTTGGAACTATGTTGTAGCCTTACTTTCAGTCTTGTCTCTGGTCCTTTCTTCTGCTGCTCCCATCTTGACCACCAGGATGGTTCCCAGATCTTTTTCACTGTTTGCTGCATATGGGACTGTTAACAGCTCAGCCTGACACACACAGATACCACAGGATTGCTGCTCGGTCAGTGAAAGAACTGCTTGCACTGGGGTCCTGCTCAGCTCCTGTCCTATCCACGTTCATGGGACAGGCCCACTCTTGCTGCTCCCTGACACATGGATCCAGCAAACAAGACTTCCAAATGCAATCCATTCACTCTTGTTTTAGGTTGGTCCAGCTTAACTTCTCAAGTTTCAGATCTGGAAGACTGTCAAAACAGAGGTCAAGTAAAAGAAAATGTTTAGAAAATCAGAATTATAGCAAAAAATAACACTGCACAGGTTTCTTTGTTCTGTGTAGTGACCCACTCGCTGCATAGAACCCCTTACCAAATACACAGTTTCCCGATTCTTCATCTTCATTATAACACCACCCACCATATTCCATACAGTCCTTGTATTTAATCTTTTATATCTTACAAAGCCATGATTTGCTGTTCTTTACACAGCATCAGTTTTTTTACTTCCTTTTTAACCTTAGCTGTATCCCGTACTAGTTCCGCTTTTACTAAGTTTAACTTTTATAGGTAAAACTAAATACCTTTTTTTGCACTATGGATTTCTTTCCATGCACCTGCTCAACTGCAGCAGGCAAAGACCATAGAACAGAGGTGGTTCTTTTACTGAACTCAGTATTTTAGATGGTCATTAGATTTGAAAGCTGATAATAGCTTGTTAGCTGCTTTACCTGGACTTTGTCTTTTTGACTTCCAAAGGATGCAAGTAATCAGCTTATGCACACAGACTTATACGGGATAGCTGTCTCACTGATCTAAGCTCTGAGAAGAGCTTCATTCTATAGAAGCCTTTTGCAAGGTCAGGATTCATGCCCTTCCACCACAGCATCTCTAGGAATAAAAAGGAGATGATTAGGTGATTAAAAGAGGCAAATATTCAGGACTGTCACATCATTTGTTTCTATGAGTAAAATGCAAATGAATATAAACAGCTGCCCTGTGCATGCATTTACTTTCAAAGGTGTTCAGATGTTGTCATCTTGTATTCAATTAAATAGCTATAAGCACTAGTTAAATCACAACACATTTACGGGTGACTTCAGCTGAGGCAGACCTTTCTTCCCGAGCAACCTCTAATAGTCAGCAGTTGTGCTCCATCATGTTGAAGTTCAAAGTGGTAGCTTAGATGCTCCAAATTGCATGCTAGGAGCTTCTCTCTCCATCTCTTAGATGATGAAGTCTGAAGGACTTGTCTTCCCAGCCAAAGTTACTCTTCGTAAAGATCTGAAAAGTAATTGATTGTCTGAGACCTATTAGGATTTTATCTATTAGGCATTCACAATAAAAAGTAAAAAGCAACAGACTGATATTTTTTCCATAATGTGCTATTATGAACAACTTAAAGCACAGGCATTCTTTTCTCTAGCTTAATGTAAAGTTTTCAGCATCACCAATGTTTATAGGTACAAGACAAAGTTATGGAGAGAATAGGAAAAAAATGTTACTATCATTTTGAGTGTTTGAATTTTTAATTACATGTGACTGCATGTTGCTATGTTGTCAAATAGCTGTGCAAGGTTGTGGCACAGTCTTGATAAGATCTCTTTCTGCTTGGTATTTCAGTGGTTACATATCATCTCACAGTATTTTCTAGAAATATTTTGAGTGAGAGAAATTTGTTACGTATGACTGCATGTATATATGGTACTCATGGAGACACTGGGGACAGGTCCCTTCTCTGGTCGTTGCAGAATGTCCAGCAGGGAGAGGACAAAGAGGTACTCTGTCTTAAAGTACTTTAAAATTTATTCTTTAATCTATTCTTGTAATTCCTATATATTGTTTTCAAATCTTGCTATACACTTCAGTAATATAGGTTAAGATTGTAATACTAAACAATTTTATTTTAGTCTTTCCTAGTTGCCGTGGATGCTGTGGAGCTAGGAGAACTGGATAAAGTTGTTCTTTTGTTCAGCAGTAAAACAGGTAAAGTACTTTTGCTGCTCTCTAAAGTCAGTGATGTGAATCACACAGCTAGCCTCCTATTAAAAGCAATGAAATTATTGCCAGAGTTAAACCCTGATTAATTTCCTTTGACTCTTTTTGCTAAAACTTAATAGTTTGTAAAGCAAAATTCTATAATTTGACATGTTAAAATCCTTGGATCGAAAGGCTGTATCATTATTTCATCAAGAAAGTAAACTATTCCTTTCCATAGAAGAAAGAAAAACAGACAGTTAAGATGAATAATTATATTCTGCAATTAATATCTGACTTATAAAATAAGTGATCCAGGAGAATAATTAAAACTCACATAAGAAAATGATATTGTTTAATTTTCCTTCTGTCATTCATTTATTTTCATTGTTTTCCTTGCCTGTTCTGTTTCCTCCCTGTGACATTCAGAGGGGGATTTTAACTTTGTTACACAATCAGCAGTTTTGTCACTGAATTTCATTAAAATTCTATGATTCTATGATCTCTTTGCCTCACCTGTAGGATGGCTACTAAGGAATATTCAAATAATGAACTGTAAATTAACACATGGTGCCATTAGAGAACAAGGCATATAGCTCACTACTTTTATTTCTCACAGTTTCAGTTGTGAAAGTTAACTATGGCCATGTGTCTGACACAGTCGCTGAACATGGCCATTGCTAAAGGGCACCACAGACAGCGTGACAGGCAAGGGTTTTCCAGTCAGGTTTGAAAGTAAGATTGACAAAGGAGGGACTTTGGGGCTCACTGGCTCTGAAGAAAGTATTGGGCAGAAGGAAGAACTCCTTCTTCCAAAGGAGTTAAATGAGAAAACACTTTAGATCAGTAAGGGTGTCCATATCGTGTCTAGACTTATTTGGACTAAGACTAGCTTGGAGCAAGATTTTGAACCAAAAAACTCCAAACACAAAAGCTGTTTAGCATATAAGGTGATGTACACCCTGCAGGACTGGTCACATAGGGTAGAGTGTTGCTCTAATGCATTTATGGTTCTTCCAGTATCTGAGCAGGTTTTAAAGATGGCGTGATTCAAGATCCCTTTCTGAAGCTTCTGTCTTTCTCCGTGCACTGTCCAGGCAGGTCTTGAGTGCAACACAATGTTCTTGGATTTCTCCTGAGGAGCCTGAGCCAATTAACTTAGACTCCTATTGGTAGAATTAAAGGAACTTGGACGGTAGTAAAAGATATTAGAATGTAGTTTGTTGAGAAGGACTGAAGGGAAAAATAATAGAAGATAATGGAAAATTAATAGTCTTCATGACTAACTAGTGGTAAGAGATTGAGGCTAGTATTATTGACAGCATGTCTATATAGACCACATACCTATAAGCCCCTGTCAGGGTCCAACTGGGGAAAACCCCAGTTCCAGACCCTGTTTCATTTTGTGATCCCAGGAATGAAATTAAGATGCAAACAAGGTCAAGTACTGTAATCAGTTAGTAAGTTTGTTACAAAAAGACAGTCATTATAAAAAAAGAAAATTATTGTAACAAATGGGATAGCAATAGGACAGATTGGAAAAAAGGTAGGAAATGAAGCAAGGATTAGGGGTGCAGATTGAGAGAGAGTCACCACCGTGGATCCGGAGGTGTCCCAGGGATCCGTTGTCATTGTTGTTGGTGGTGGGAGTCCTTCAGGGTTTGTAGTTGGTATCAGAACAGAGTGTCCCACAGAAGTCCATAATAGTCATTGGAGGTGGGTGTCCTCATGGAGGTGGTCCTTCTGGAGTCGTCCCCTTGAAGGTACCCCTTGGAGGTGTCCTGATGGAGTTGCCCTCATGGTGATCTCTCAAGGAGGGTGTCCCTCAGGGTCTGTAGTAGTCATTGGTGGAGAGTGTCCTCACGGAGGTGTCCTCCTGGAGTCATCCTCATGGCTACCTGGCGATATGCCTCTTGGTGATTACCTTCTCCCCCTTTTATAATTACTTGGGGGGAGTACTTCTGTTCTTCATGTAACATTTTACACGTTCCTGGTGGACCAGTTTCCCTGGTCTTGCAGCCAGCTCTTCAACTGCATGTGTCTGCACACACACACACACTTTTCCCCTCTCTCTGTCTTTCTCTCTCTCTTTCTCTCTCTCTCAGTTCTGCAGCAATTCTTGGGGTAACGGGTAGCAATCCCTCACACCAGTCCTCAAGGTAATGGGCAGAAGAGTCTTAGCTCTTTCCCACTCATCCCTCGGAGTCCTAGTTCACACCCTTCTCCCAGGCAATGGCCACAGGAATCTTATCTCAACTCCTGCCACCCATCTCTGAGACAAAAGATAGGTGGAATCCCATCTCCGCTTCTCAGACCAATCTTTGAAACAATGGACAGTGGAGTCTGATTTCAGATCAGTTTCTCACAGCCCCCAGCAGAAAATTCAAAAGGAAGTGTAAGTCAGAGAGCAATCTTTTTCAAACAGCAGAGGTATACAGCAAGTTACCAAACTTCATTCATATCTGCCACCTAAGGAGATCCTCTTTGTGCTGCATGTGGAATGGAACTCTAGCCCTTTTATCAACCCCTCACGGAGGAGGAAGCATCACAGATGCACCTCTGCTTTTCCTCCTTGATTGTGCCTGCCTGAGTGGCGCTGAATCTTGTCTGCATGCCTGTCCAAGGACAGTGAGGATAATATTCCTCTGCTTCACTAGACAAAGAACTCCTAAATTTCTAAGTTGAGGTTTCAAATAGGAAAAAGAATTAGGGATGTTATGATGGTTCCAGGATTTTTAATTTAATTCTTGGTATTCATAAATGAATTAATAAATTCTGCTTTCATACAGTAGGAATGACACAGGTATATCAACAACAGACTTTACCTGATTCCTTGACATGCAGTACAACATTTTCACTATATTTCATTTCCTCCTTTGTAGACTGCAAACTGGACATTAAAAAATTGCATTTGAAAGAAGCTACAAAGGAGCATCCTATCTATGTATTTGAAGTGAATGAGTAAGTATATTGTGTAGTCATTTTTTAGTCATGTTATAGTACAATAGTTGAAAACACTAAGCAAGCATTGAATTAAAATAACTGTCACAGAGTGGTTCAGTCAATGGATATTTTTAAAATCAGTCTATCTTTAAATGTCCCACATAAATTCACAGGATTTTTTTTTTTATTTTATTTAACATATGATTTCCTTACCACAAAAACATGGTTTTGTTTTTCAGAGTTCTTTTTGTGGATAAAAATAAGGCAGAAATACAGAGAGAAATCCCAGTAACTTTTATTATTGGAGAAGACAAAAAAAAGAATGACAGAGATAACTTACATAAAGGCAGAAGTCAAGCAAGAAATCTGACAGAGTATACTATTAAAGTATACACAGGTGACAAAAGGGGAGCAGGGACTGACGCCAACGTGCACATTATTTTGTTTGGGAATGAGGACAAATCTGAGGTATTTCAACTGTCTCAGTCACTGGAGCATAAAGACCCCTTTGAAAGAGGAAAGGTGAGTCAATACATTTTATAGGATGTGTCCATATCTAGCTAACTCTGTTGCTTTTCTGTCTCTGTTCTAAATGCACCTTCATATTACACCTGCCCATCTGCCAAGCTGTGCATTTTCTTGATCTGAAATGCACAACATGCATTGCTTGTGCACGTGCACATATGTGCGATATCCATCACTGTTGCACAAACTTTGAATATTGTGCTTGAGAGTACATCAGTCTCTTACACCCCATCATGTTATTTTGCCATGGAAGCTGGTGTTGTGAGCCTCACTGAATGTGTAAGCCTATAAGCAGATAAAGTGGAACCATGCACATCAACCTGATTCTGATATCCATCATACTTTAGGCTACTATTCAGAGACCCCTAGTTCAGGTACAGATATTTCCATGAGAATGACAATTTTCCAGAGACCCCTAGTTCAGGTACAGATATTTCCATGAGAATGATGATTTTCTGCATGATGTCCTAGTACCTTAGCAGATTGTTCTATTTTAACAAATGTATTAATCTAGTAAAAGAATTCCTCCATTTTCCATGGAGTATAATGATGATTACCCTTATGTAGCAAGAAATAAACATATTTTCCATATCTTTCTGCCGTGGACTTCTTGAAAGAGAATGACTGAATAATTAAAACTCCAGCTAAAATATCTTCCTTATGCGATCTCCCTCATTATCTCCAGCAGTACTAGACATTTTTTTACTCGCAGTTGGCCTGACATTTTTCATCCAGGATGTCTGTGAATATTTTTTTAAAGCTCTTTGCCCATCTATTGTCTTCCATACTGAGGTTAATAGACCCAGTTACCTATAGGCAAGTAAGAAAGTGTCTTGAGTAGTGTTTTCCTCTGCCTAGTACTACACAGGAGGTGTCATTACTCTTTGAAAAAGAAAAGTAGGTGCATAGAAATCTTGTTAGCAATCCAGCTAAGTCAATAGGTAGCCAGTGATGTCAAATGTCTTATAAGTCTATATGTCAAATATCTTCTATGTCTAATGTCTAATATAAAAAATCCTGCATTATGAAACAAGGTAATATTTTAAATTATAATGGTACATGTAGTAAAAGCCTTTATCTTTTATATTCTTGAATGTATAATTATGTATCGTGTAGTGAAAACATTTTAGAAGTCTGTATCAGTTGAGAATTCATAAGAGAGCAAAAATATTTGTCTGGTAGATGAAAGTCGGGCAAGAGGTAGTGAGTGTCCTACTATAGGTTGAAAAGTTAATCTTTCATGTTTAAACTAAGACCTAATAGGAGAGGATTACCACAGGTTGTCAGTAAGGAAAATAAACTACATCAGGTGTCAGCCACCTATTTTGAATCAGTATTATTACATTTGAATTACTCTCAGAAATGACTTAAACAAATGTGTAAGTTTCCAGACATCAGTATATATTTTTTTTAATAATCGTGTTTTCATACTAAAGGTTGATACATTCAAGATTAAGACAAAACACTTGGGCAACCTACATTCGATTGAAATTGGTCACGATGGAAAAGGATTTGGTGAGTATACTGCATGCACTCAATAGCCTTGTAAAAACTTTCTGCTTAAAGATCTGCCTGACATTTGGAAAGGTTTTTGAAGTCATGCTACAGCTAGAGCTAGCTAATACAAATCTGTTTACAAATGAGGTCAGTTTGATTCCTCTTGCTTACATCCCCTCTGTCTCTATCACTTTTCCCTTGACTTTACCTTGATTATTTTTTTTCCTAACAGAGATCTCATTAGCATAAACCCCAGAAGGCTTTATCCTTCTAACATTGCTCAGCCTCTTAAGACCTCTTATTAAAGGTCCTAAGTAACAAAGGATTGAAATTTCAAACTGCAGGTTAAAATTTCCATGCATTCAATATTATCTAAGAAATGTTTGGGCAAGGCTATGATTCTATGATTCTATAAGGCTGAGACCCTTGTCATAGCATACTGTAGCTCCCTCTGATAGACATACAGCTTTTCTTCTTGGGAAGTCAAACTACGAGAAGAAAACTACTGTGCACCAGATCTTGCCCTGATGTTAGGCTTTGGCTGCAGTACATACCCACACATGATGATGGAAGCAGCTTCTATGTTATAGTGTATTACACGTAACCTCTTAAAAACCTGAATTTTACAAAAAACATAAGACAGGAGACTAGGGCATGTAAGATTCTGAGCTTACATTAGTGGGTCTAAAACCCCCTAAAGATATATAAATATATAAACAGAATTTGCAGGCAATGTACAACTTGATTCAAAAAGATCCAGTTGGATTGAGATACTATAGTGAGGTGAATTTTGCTTAACCTGCCTGAAAGAAATAGGTTTATGTTTAATAAAACCTGATTTATCTAAGTACATGTGCCACTATAAGGTGGCAAGGGCTTATCATATCTTGGATGAACCAAGCAAAATCCTCCAATAGCAGTTCTTATTTAGGCAAAAGTTGAAACAGGTTTTTTTTGCAACTACCCAGTCAGTTGTACATGTTATGGTGTTAAAAACTCAAAAAGAAAACCCAGCAAACCTGTTGAATACCTATAATAAATAAAATCCTCCTGCTGACTTTCATCTTAGTGTTAGCTGCTGTACGTGCACTCAGGTAATTTGGAACTGATCTGGGAAAGAAACTCCGCACTGGCAGACTTCTGTGATTGTGAGAGTTGCACAGAAATCTGCAGAGGAAATATAGGTTGGATTTTTATTTCCTGGGTTTTGAACTTTCAACAAGTATCTGCTTTCTGTGTCCTGATAAATGTCGCATAGCTACTAATGCTGCCTTCTGAGCACAGCTGGTGTAGGTTGATTCATCTTACATCCATGACTACCTTCCTCTGAATTTTTCTCTGAAATTATCTCCAAGTGTCTTTTGTCACATCAGCTATTATTCTTATAAGCATCCTCAAACATAACACCTCTTTGAAATATTTCATCTGTTTGCTAATCTTTCCTAGCTGCCTCTAGCTTTTTCCATACCTGGAGATTTCAGTAAGGTCTGTTGGAGTTTTGTCAATAAAGGATAAAACATTAGCTTTTAAACTTTTCAAGAGAGCAAACATGCATTTATATTCGTTTGTAAAGTGCCGTGTAAATTTGAGAGACTAAATTTTTATTGCTGATAATATTGACTCCAAATTACAGAGATTTCATGAAAGGTCATATATTCCAAGTAGAGTCTATGATATATTAAACCATTCGCAAGATTTCATCAAAGAAGTTCCAAAAGTATTTCACAATACCAACAAATTACTCTCCCGAACTGAAGATGAAAATGGAGACACCTTTATGGCATAGTTACACTAGCTAATTGTTTGAAAATGTCCATGAAAAGTTAGCAACATCACTATGCCTTAAGATTTTATCTAAATGGATATAATTTGCAAATATTTTTATACTACACTTTCAGGCTACTTACAAATAAAAATATTTGTATTGGTCTTAACCTACTTAGTACTTTTTCCAAGTATTTGAAAACCAAATTAATTTGCTAAAAAATAGTATTTTATCTTTAGGACTTACAAAGAATACCAAAAGGTTTCCAGGTACTAGCAATACAAACATAATTAGCTTTTAAATGTTGTCATAAAGTATTCACATCGGCAAACACAACTAAAGATGTCAGCACAAACATTGCATATCTGCAATAATAAACATAATAAAGTTTTATTTTAAAATTCTTCATATTTTAATATTCCATGAAATAAAATTCTATAGCATAAGAATGGAGGTATATTTCACACAGCCAAATAGGAATTATAGCAGAATAGTAAATACATTCTTAATGTTGCAACAGACGATTGCAGGCCTACATGGAGATGCTACTCTGAATCATGACTGTTGGAGAAATATGAATATGAGAAGCATTCAGATTCATCACTTGGTTTATAGAAGTGTAAATATATTTATTAGAAAGGAGTAGTAGAATTTCTACTTTCCTATTATTTACGGGCTTGGGTTATCAATAAAGAAATTACATCTACTGATAAAGTCTATCTATTTTTATTGTTTTGATGGACATTAAAGATCAAAGTCCACCAGGGGTATACTTTGAGTGCATTTCAGAGCACCTAAAAGAGCAAAATGGTATTTCAAGAATGCATTCAATATTACCATGCACTCTGTTTCATTTGTCTTGCTGCCTGTTCTGTTCAATATGAAAAAATGAGTTAAGTTGTAATAAAAATATTCCTTTATATTTTCTGTCAAAAAAATCAAAGACCTTCTCTGTAAAACTGAGACAAGTTGGTAGTAATTTGAATCATCTACTTTTCAGCTTTATTATTCATATTGAATACATTTGGAAGTATTGAACCACACAGGATTTGGAAATGAAATCAGAAATCTTATACTTTATTTGTGTTTTGGTTATATTCAATTTGCTCTTTTATTCCCTTCTACAGCAAGTGGATGGTTTCTGGAAAAAGTAGAAATAACAGATGCATCTAGGAATTCAGTGTACTGCTTCAGCTGTAACAGGTCAGTAGATCAGTTCTTCAGCACTCTGTAGAATTAGTAGTAGTCTTTTTAGTTTCTCAGTTGTTTCTCTTCTGGTTTCCTAAAACAGTAAGAATTTTTTAACCACGCTGTGTTCATATCAGTCCATCCCCAGTGACTTTTGAACCGTTTGGCCAACTTCAAACTAATTTGTCACAAGAACAGAGGAAGACACTATATTTTCCCAAGTTATTAAAACTGGAGGACTGTAGGAGGGAGAGACACAATTTAGTACCTGTGCCAAGAGAAGATATTAGCATTCTGTTTCCAAGAGGTAGAAGCTGTCCGGTGAACTATTACACAAGTAGTAGTGTGTATATAGCTCTGACAAGCATATCATGCGTATGCAAACAAGCATGGGAAGGAATCACAGTATGTGGTAGTGGAAGGATGGTAGGGTATGGCAGTATAGATATAAAACTGGAGGAAAAGTATATTTTATTGAGCAAAAGCAATATTAAAATACTTTTGTTTCAGTGTCTGCTTAGTATGGATCTAAGATATATTCAGCAAATAAGGTAAAGAAGAAAGAAATATTTTTATAATGTAATGTAAGAGGATAATGATCTAAATTTAGACATTTATTGGATAAAGGAGTGCTGGGGTAAAAGGCTTCTAATATAGAAAAACAAGACCCACTTCACTCTCCATCAAACTGAAACAAAACATTTTCAGAAGTTGGTCTGAAAGCAGAAGTTGGTAGCCAAGAATATTTAGTTTTATCCTTCCCCAAAATGTTCCTGTAAACTTGACAATTCATAGAAGCCAAATCCCAACCCTGCACCCAAAAAGGACCATTTTTTTTTTTTTCAGTTCTTGGATAGTCAATTGCACTCTACAGTCTAAGTCATGAGAATATGAGGCCATTACCAACCTCAGCAACATTAAACTTCTTCCAACATCATTAAACTTCCCTTCATTAACCTTCTTCCAAACACATGCTCGGGTACTATCTAATCTTCCAGATAGATGTGAATTTCAGTTGATGTCACTCCACTCCACTTCTTTTGCTTATAAGGGTTATAAGACCACACCAGGCAGAGGAAAATTCTTAAAAAAGATAGCTTGCAACATTTTTTCTGTTTTTTTTTTTAATCTATTTTTTATTTAAAATCTTACGGTAAAAACAGAAAGGCATTTAAGAGACCCATTTGGAGCAAGAACTTGAATCACATCATTGATGTGGGGACTGACTGGCACAGATTGATTCTACAGACTGCTGACTAGGACTTTTAACTGAGTCCTTGGTGGGTTAGAGTCATATCCTTACTTTAATGCATATCTACTTGCTCAAAATGGAAGAGTTTTAGTAGAAGGGATTAGGAGATCCACCCCAGGGACCTCAGTGACCCACAGTCTATAGGGCATTCCTTGGATACAGAAAACTGTGTTTCACATCTCTGTTCCAGCTCAGACATGGAGCTTCTTATAGAATCATAGAATAGTTTGGGTTGGAAGGGACCTTCAAAGGCCATCTAGTCCAATCCCCCTGCAATGAACAGGGATATCTTCAATCATGTTCTCAGAACCACATCCAGCCTGGCTTTAAATGTCTCCAGGGATGGCACATCTATCACCTCTATGAGCAATGTGTTCAAGTGTCATCTCATAGCCTACTGTGTAAGTGTGGAATAGGTTCATTCTCTCACAAAGACACAAAATAAAAACTCTTCTGGTACAAATGGTATCTTTAAAAGGCATTCATTTTTATCTGCCCAGATTAGTTGTGTTTCATCCTGGAACTGTTTAGCTTCAGCCATATATCTTCCAGTTATTCAGTGGTGCAGCTTCAGATGTGAGCTACATTAACACTATATTGGCTGTCCCCCACACACTAACTCCTCAGTAGACATCACATCCAGTAGTCAGTCATAATACTTGTAAAAGTATTAGAAGCTTTTTAACTCTCTTTGGAAATTAGGTTCCAGTTTTGGAAATTAGGTCCCAGTTTTGGAAAATAGGTTCCAGTTAACATTGATCTACCTGAGCTTTGAACTGGGACTATTCTCCATATAATCAACAGTAAAACTTCCATAGGTTCTTAGAGAGCAGGGTTTAGGCCCAGCATGCAACTCAGTATTTTGGGAACCCACAAGTCAATATGAGAAATAAACAGTCCCTGGAATGGAATACATTGACAATAACCTGCTATAAAAGATGTCCTTACTCTAAATTATCCTGATTTTATGCTGCTCAATGAAAAAAGCTACTTGTCACCTATATGACCAAAAAATAAAATTAATATTTCATAAATATATTTATAAAGTTAATTTCATTTTAAAATTATGCATATATAGATACTAAAAAAAACCCAAAGCAACAAAACCCCACCATTTTCTTCAGGTTGGTTACTGCTTCTCTATAAACCAATGTAAAAAGTGTCCTAGAAATCCAAAGGTGCAGAAGCAGGCTCTTATGATTTGTCTGTTTGTTAAGTTTTATATGTTCCCTGTCTGTGTCAGCTTTTTATGTTTTTCCCTTAAGGTGGCTTGCTGAGGATGAAAGTGACGGCCACACCACAGTGCAACTTTATCCACAGCTCCTTGATTTCTGATTCTTCCTGAGTGTGTTGCTTCTCCAAATTCATGCTGATCTGATTTACTTGTATTTTATAATTCTGAAGGTATTATAATTGCTGTGAAGGAATGTCAAAACAATGTATTAAAAACATCACAGTAAATTAAACATGTCTAATGTGAGCACTGCATTCCAATCCTATTAGAGATGCTCAAAAACTTTGCATGACTGAAATTTAGAAAACAGAAATTTAAATCTGCACATGGCTCTGTGAACTTGATCGGAGCATTCATAAGGGTAGGCAAGTGTAGTAGCATACTCAAACATTTTTGCTTCAGTAGCAATTTGTGGGTAAGTTAAATTTAGCTTATGGGTCAAATATGTCAATATTTATTAATTTAATAAATCTGTTTCAATTTCAACATTTATTAAACTTCAGATTTTCTCAAAATCCTTTTCCAAACTTCACAACTCTTCATCCTTCCCATATATCGCTTCCTTTTTTTTAGAAGACCATAACAGAAAGTAATAAAGGATTTGTTATTCAGGCATTCACTCTGTGTCAGTAAGCCTCTCACTGACATTTGATTGTAAAATCTTGTAGCTGAGCCAGAACCTCAGCTGAGACCCTTTAGATCCAAAAGGTCTCTTAAGAGAAGCTGTTACCAGTAACACTGCAATAATTTACTAGCATGCTTAGGCAGCACCCTGCTCAGCTTGATGGTTTTTGCCGTGCCCATTCTTAGCCATCTAACTGTCTTTCCAGTGCTATATCTGTGAATGTCTTTACTTAAAAAAAAAAAAAAAAAGGAAAAAAGAAAATCAAAATTATTTTTGGAAATTCAGAATATATAGAAACATACTTAGTCACAAACGCACAAAGTAATGCTTGATTTGATAGGCTTTGACAATTGCCAGAATTGACTCAGGAAGGGTTTAGGATACAGATGAGTCTGAAATCAAATCACGACTTGCACACCACCTGAAGTTTCGTGTGTGTGACCGGAATACAAATATTGTGTATAAGCTACATAGGGCATCTCTCTGTTTAATCAAAGGCTCCATCTTTAGTACCTCCAAGATATAAAAATCTGTGTGATGATCTGAATTTTAGACCCATTTCACTCTCAAGACACTACCATGTTCTGTAACAGCAATGTCCTTTCTACAATTATAGGAATTAAATGAGTTTCTAATCTGTGCTGGTGAAACATTGCCTGGCTGTCTTTTTCATATGCTTAATGTTTATGTACTCACACTATTCTGTGAAATGAGGAATGTTTGCCGATATCTTCACAGATGATGATATTTCAGTTGCTACTTTGACACACACAAAAATAAACACATATATAATGGGTCTTGGCAGGTAATTTCATTTTTATTTACCTGATACGTCATCAGAGGGAGAGCTAATACAAGGTGCAGATGTGATCAGGGTGAGCAATGGAACAGTGAGTTTCTCCTAAAAGTGCTCTTTCTGCTCACACATCTTCCACACACACTGGAATGGATTTGAAATTGTATCCCCAGAGCGTACAGTTCACTTACTTAGCATCAGTGTTCATTACACTGAATCACTTTGTTGTGATCTATTATGTGATTTGTTTCATTATTATGTCTTTCATTAATAGTTTGTAATACTAGCTCTCTTTGATGCCATTTCTGATTTATCAAGTGTAAATAATGCCTTCCTAATCTGTTTTTCATTATTATCAGTGAATACCTTCCTTCTGCAGTTCCCTTCCATATTTGAAAATTATTTTCTGTACCTATATGGTGTACAAATCAGGTTTTCAGTTCACTTCTCTGGATCCAGAGCCATGAAAATACCTTGACTGTTTCACTAAAGAACCACCACAGCAGAGGGCTTAATTTCAAGAGCACCATAGAATCATACAATCATAGAATGGTTTGAGTTGGAAAGGACCTTAAGATCATCTAGTTTCAACCCCCCTGCCATGTGCAGGGACACCTCACACTAAACCACATCACACAAGGCTCTGTCCAACCTGGCCTTGAACACCGCCAGGGATGGAGCATTTACCATTTCTGTCGGTAACCCATTCCAGTGCCTCACCACCCTCACATTAAAGAACTTCTTCCTTATATCCAGCCTGAACTTCCCCTGTTTAAGATGGGTGCTTGAAGCACATATTACAAAGGGATTACACTTTGACAGGAAAACCTGAAATATCCTAAGAACCACCTTCTCAGATCTTGCTTGGATAACACGCCAGTTAGCATATTTAGCTTATGATCAGTGCCAAATTCCAGACTTGCTTCTTCCACATGCTGTACAGTGATGTCTGCTGTGTTTGGTGTGGAATTCACTTAATCTCTGTCCCTTGCAAGTGGGACAATTTTTGGACAAAATTACTGGCCAAAGACAGAGACACTGCAGAGATGCGACCTTGTGTGCACTCTGCTGTTGCTGCACAGCAAGGGTGCTGCCTTGCTTTTTTCCTCCCAGCACCATGCCCTGCCTATGAAGAGCCTGGGCAGATACTGATACCACTGATGCCTCTACATAGAACAGAGATGTAGGATGGAAAAGAGACTGCCTGGGTCAACAAAAAACCCAGGCATTTGGCACCCATGGGAGTCTTGGAAGGAGTAGTGAGATAATCAGTTGGAAGAGGCAAGGCCTCTGTAGTGGACAGAAGGGTTTGCCTTCTGCTGCCTCTCACTGCTGCAGGCTGTCCTTGAAGATCTGTGTGAGAGGACAGTGGCTAGAGGAGGATGATGATGATGGTGGTGATGATTATGATTATTATTATGCAAGAATATTTAATGTTGCACAGCAGAGAAAGCCTGGAGCTGGATGCTAAAACATAGACCCTGAAGACCATAACATAAACTCTTAGACATAGCAGAGTCTGAAAGTGTCCATTAAGGGTCCAGTATTAGTTAACTCATATCTTTTTTCTTCATCAACTTCAATATGTAATCATAGTATGCTTTGAGTTGGAATGGAGCTTAGAGATCATCTAGTTCCAACCCCCTGCCATGGACAGAGACACCTTCCACTAGACCAGGTTGCTCAAACCCCATCCAACCTGGCCTTGAACACAGCCACATCAGCTGTGGCTGATGGGGCAGCCACAGCTTTTCTGGATACCCTGTTTACAGTACAGAATATCTTCCTAATATCTAATTTAGACCTACACTTTTTCAGTTAAAGCCATTACCCCTTGTCAGGCATGATTTGCCCTTAGTGAAGTTGGTTGTCACCAATCAGCTCCTTATTTCTTATGTGCCTTAGCATAGTTTCCAGGAGGATCTGCTCCACAATCTTGCCATGACTAGCCTGTTGTTCCCCAGATCTTCCTTTTCTCCCTTTTTAAAAATGGGGGTTATGTTTCCCCCTTTCCAGTCAGTTGGATCTTCACCGGACTGTCAAGACTTCTCAAATATAATGGTTTAGATACTTCACCTGCCAGTTCCCTCAGGCCCCGCAGATGCATCTTATCAGGTCCCCTGGACTTGTGTACCTTCTGGCTTCTTAGATGGTCTCAAACTTGATCTTCTCCTTCAGCAGCCAGTTCTTCGTTCTATCAGTCCCTGCCTTTGCCTTCTGTGACTTGGGCAGTGTGGCTGGAGCTCTTGCTGGTGAAGACCAAGGCAAAAAAGTGATTGAGTACCTCAGCCTTCCCCATGTCCTGGGTGACCATATCTCATGTTTCCTTCAGGAGAAGGCCCAGATTTTCCTCAATCTTTCTTTTATTACTGACATGACTATAGAAGCTTTTCTTGTTGTTTTTGACATCCTTGGACAGATTTAACTCTTTCAGGGCTTTAGATTTCCTAACCTGATCCCTGGCTGTTGGACAATTTCTCTGTATTCCTCCCAGCCTATCTGTCCTTGCTTCCACCCTCTGTAGGCTTCCTTTTGGTGTTAAGAGTTTGTCCAGACGCTCCTTGTTTATTCACTCAGGCCTTCTAGTATTTTTGACAGACTTCCTCTTTGATGGGATGCAACACTCCTCAGATTGGAGGAGGTGATCCTTGAACATTAATCAGCTTTCTTGGGCCTCTCTTCCCTCCAGGGCATTATCGTGAAGAGGCCAAAGTCTGTCTTCCTGAAGGACCAGAGTAGTGAGCTTGCTCTCATTCCCCTAAGTATCTAGAACTCCACCATGCCACGGGCACTGCAGCCAAGGCTGCGCTTGATTTTTACATTCCCCGTCAGCCCCTCCTTGCTGGTTAGAACAAGGGCCAGCATAGCCCCCATCCTCACTGGCTCCTCTATCTCTTGGAGAAGGCACTTACTATCAACACATTCAAGGAACCTCTTGGGTTGTTTATGCCTGAAGTGTTACACCTCCAGCAGATATCACGGTGGTTGAAGTCCCCAGTGATGACCAGGGCTTGTGAACACGAGGCTGCTCCTGTCTGTCTGGTAAAAGTGGGATAACATATGGAGGTATGAAAACATCTAAAACTTGTGAACATTTTGTAGAATAATTCTTACTTGCTGCTTCTAAAGAAATTGATTGCATGTGCATGTGCACCTTAGGGCACAGCTTTAACATAGAAAACTAGTTAAAATTAGATGCATGGAAGTCATAACAGTGAGACTACACTGGGGTGAATGAGAAAAGAGATGTTCATCAGATTCTCCATCAGGTAACCCCATCTTTATATCTTCACATCAAGACAGAGAGAAGCACACCGCAGGAAAAGGCTTTGGAAGCCTTTGGGAGAGAAATGCAATGTGCATCAGAAGGCAGTTAGAAAAGAAAAAAGAAAAAGAAGAGAAGAGGAAAGGAAAAGAAAAGAAAAGAAAAGAAAAGAAAAGAAAAGAAAAGAAAAGAAAAGAAAAGAAAAGAAAAGAAAAGAAAAGAAAAGAAAAGAAAAGAAAAAAGAAAAAAGAGAAAAGAGAGAAAAAAGGAAAAGAAAAAAAAGACAAAAGAAAAAAGAAAAAGGAAAAGAAAAGAAGAAAAAAGAAAAAAGAAAAGAAAAGGGAAGGGAAGGAAGGAGGGAGGGAGGGAGGGAGGAAGGAAGGAAGGGAGGAAGGGAGGAAGGAGAAAAGGAAGCAGATCAACTAGCAGATTCACCAGGTCTTCTGGAAGAAATCACGAAAGAATTCCTTATGGCTCAGGACTTCAATTATTTCTAAGGGGGCTGCTCAGGAGCTCTGCTTAGCAGGAGACTGGCCCATTGCCAGCCCTGCCAGGACAGCAGGGCTCTGCACAGCTCATTCATCATGCAGAGCTGTTCACCAAGGACTGACTATGGTGAGAGAGACAGGCTTTTCTGCCAGAATACTGCCATAGGGTGTCAAATCCAGGTACAGTGAGCTCATTCTAACGCTTCTGGTACTCTGAGCTAGAAGAAAATAAAGAAACATCAAGCACTAAACTGCAATAGTCAAAAGTGTTGCCAAATAAAAGAGAATAGATTTGGGAATCATTTGCAACAAATGCGTGCAAAAAAAATCATTAGGCCCGTAGCATATAATGATATTCTAATGGCAAAATGAGAGAACTACAAGCAAGAGCTTGAGTGTATTTTGATAGAGCACTCTATACAATTTAGCTAAAGACTGGGAAAAGCATCATTGCCAGGAACCTGAAGAAATAAAAAATACTTTAAAAATAAAAGGTTTAGAACCCAGAAGTATGTTTCCTGGACATTCAGGTGTGAGTTGATAGCCATCTACAATGAAAAAACAGAAAAGCACACACACACAAAAAAAGTTATTCTTAAAGTAGACAAAGGTGATATGATATTGTAAGGGGGAAATGGGAAGCAGGAACTGCAATTCAGAACAAAGCAAAAGCAGTATTTCTGATACTCATAGAAATGTTTTCTTTAACGAAAGGCACAGAAAAAGGAAGCCAAGAATAAAAATTCCTTCAGAGAAAAATTAGCTTCACATGAGAAATGAATGTGTTTGTACTTGGTTTATAAACTATGTATTGATGTCTGTGATCACATTTTTGCCCTTCAATTATATTTTGTAATTACTAATTTCTGAGGTCTAGTAGCAACACTGGCTTGTTGAATGCAGGGTGGTTTGTATACTGTGTGTATCCAAAATCTTCTGGCCCCAATACAGCTCCACAGAAGCTATGCCAGTCTAACAAAGAGGAAATTTGGTTCTTGGAAGCAATTTCTTCAGCACTTACATATTATTTGGGATCCTTTCCATTTGTTATCTTTTAAGTGAGAAAACAAAACAGAACACATTGCCCTGGAAATCCCATGCAACTTTAAGTTTGAATGTTCATCTAGTGAACTGCCTTCATTTAACAGCCAGCTATTGTTAACATGATAACCAGTGTGAAAGGATATTATTGCCCTCACAAATGCAACAGTAACTGACTCCAAGAAGAGAAAACCAAAGCAATCAAGCAAAATAAAAAAAAAATGAGAAAGGAGAAAGGAGAAAGAGGAGAGGAGAGGAGAGGCAAGGCAAGGAGAGAATGAGACAAAACAGAAGAATATAGTAAAGAAAGTGTAAAACTCTCCCCCTCACAACAAAAATGGTAAACTGAACACCTTTCAGATCATTGAATGCCAGTTGGAAGGGACCTCGAGGATCACTTAGCCCAACCTTTTTTAGCAAAGCACGACTTAGACTAGATGACCCAGCATATTTGTCCAGCTTCATCCTAAAAGTGCCCAGTGTATTTACAGGTCTGCTCTAAAGCCTGGTGAACTGGAGTCTTCCTGGGCAATGGATCAATCCCTGTGGTCAAATTCTGCCCCTGAGTGAAGTAGCTGAGGGTAAATGCACCAGGAAATCTGTCCCACCCCTGGGGCAGGGAGGAAACGGTGTGGGGACACTTGGCCCCAGAAGTTACCTCCTCCAAGCTGGCTAGCAGTGAGTGGCCTTAAGCAGGCTACCATGACCTCTGAAGGCAATGTACAGCTCGAGTGACACCATTAATGTTCTTAAATACCCACTACATTGCTCAGAGGTACCTTCTGCCCTTTTAGTATGTTGGACCTTGATCTCCTCCACTTTATTCTCACCTGGAACCTGACATCTTTGAGTTACTCTCTTAACCCACACCCAGCTCAAACAGTTCAGGTTAGCATTTCAGCTCTAGGAGCACAGCTGCTCCCTCACCCCCACTCATGCATCACACTATAACTATTTGTAGTATCTTTTAGACCTGTATATGGCAAACAGACTCAATTAAAGTAACTTAAGGTGCACACTAAACCATTTTATTAGGGATGGAACTATAAATAGAGTAACACTGGGAAGCTGTTGGTATATATAAACCCACCAACTTGCAGCTAAATTAGCTTCATTATTAAGCACTTTCTCTGCTGACAAGGTAATCTTAATATATATTGTATTATATAGAGGTGCTGACTGAATTATTAAAAGATACCTTGAGAAAGAAGCAATTTGTATCAAAAGTCTAAGGCAATAAAGATCATAGGGATTGTAATGAGAATGAAATTAATATGGGGTTACAAAAGGAACAGAAATAAAAGTACAGCTATACCACTGTAACAGAGATTGCGGAGCAAATCGTATTATTTAAGAACCATTATGTGATGATGTAATTAAAGACTCTTGTAATGTGTACTAACAGGCAAAATAACAAACCAAATTAGTTTTATGTCCACTCTTCATCTTCCAAAGTTTGAGTCTGGTGTGCTCAGCACTCTGAATAATACAGTAATGCACACTGAAGTCTTGAAGTCTGGGGTATGTATCAGCAAAAGGTAATTTCCAAAATGCAACTTTATACTTCCCCTGTACATTGAGGAGTTAGAAGGCAGATTTTTCAGCTGTCTATATGACTTCTTCTCTTTCATTAATGAAGTTGACGTGAAGGAGCTATATTTAGGTACATAACGTAAAACTGCCCTATCATAATCTCACTGTCATTCTTATGAAGATACTCGAGCAACGTGAACTATCTCACTGCTCTCTTTTTTTTTTTTTTTTTTTGGGGGGGGGAAGGACATGCTTATATTCCAGAGGTGAAAAAAACCAGCATTCCCAAAAACCCCTGAAAGGGGTGAAACGGCTACTCATCCCGTTTGTTTGGAAACGCAGGGGTACAGAGAGGGGCCAAAGGGTAAAGGGCCCCCCATCCGCATGCCGACCCCTGTGCCCGACATTGGGCATCGTGACCCGGATAACTCCCGTGGGTAGGAGGCTGGTGGCCTTCAGGGCCCGGGTAGCCACCGTACCCCTGGCTCCGAGGGCAGCGGGGCGTGCTCGGGGATCCTCTTTGGGACCGCTCCTCCCTGGACGGCATCCTCCAGCCACTGCCGCTCGCCGCCGAAGTTGGAAGCTGCAGGCGGGGCCACCTCCGCTGCTGAAATATCAGGATGAGCTCAGAGGGGCGGCCGCGATCCGGGAGCAGCCGGAGCTGCGGAGAAACGGGCGGGGGGCGGTGAAAGGCGTCGTGAGTTCGTCTAGTGAATTTTATGCCTAAACCGCGATTTCTCCGGGTGTCTCCTCACTTTCCCCCAAACGCCTCTTAAAACAGTGAGTCACGGCGCAACTCCTGAATTCCACCTCGCAGTCGCGTTTCACAAAGTTGAGGGAACTACGGCAGCGTTTTCTGCGGGACAGCGCGGCAACGGCCGCCCGCCCTGAGCGAGTCCTGCCTCCGGGCGGGGCGTTACGGCTAAGCATCACCACCGGTACCGGTCCTGTCAGCGCGGGGGGGCTGCGGCGGCTCTCCTCTCTCAGCGAGAAGCTCGAGGGCGGGTGGCCGTGAAAGGGGACCACCGCCCTCCTCGCCGCCCCGTCCGCATCTCCTCTCGTCCCGCCTCTCCACTGCGGTCCGGTCCGGGCAGACTCACCCCGAACCGCGTCGAGGACACCGGCGTGGCGGCAGCGCCGCGCCCCTCCCGGGGTGCCGACCCCGGGCGGCGCCGGCCGCACCCCGCCTCTCCCCGCCGACCCGCTCCCTCACCCCGCGGAGCCGCCGCTGCCCTGTCGCCGTCGCGCCCACCGCCCTAGGCCGGGCCGCCAAGCCATCGCCTCCCCCCACCGCCACCGGGCCGCACGGGGCCCTTCCCGCCCTGGGGCCGAGCGCCCCCTTCCACGCCCCTGCGCTAGTGCCGGTGCCGGTGCCGGGCGGGGGGCGGCGGCAGCGAGGGAAGAGGGATGAGGTCATCCTCTTTCCCGGCGTCAGTCAGCTGGGTGGTGGCGGCGGTGGGTGCGGGCGGAGGCGGGCGGGGAGGCGGAGGGAGGCGAGATGCGCTGCTCCGGGCAGCGCTGCCCTGCCTGCTCTCGGTTCGGGCAGAGCGCGGCGGCGGCTCCGGCACCGCCGGCCCCCGCGGAGGCGGCGGCGGGGCGGGAGGGCTGAGCGCAGCTCCCCGCAGGCAGGCGGCGCTGCGGGAGCGGCCGCCGCGAAGGAGCCGCCCGCGGGCGCGCAGCCCGGCGCGAAGCGTGGACAGGGAACGCGGAGAGCGGCGGGTCCGCGGCAGAGGGCGGGAGGCAGGAGGCGAAGGAGGAGGAGCAGGGGGAGGCGCGGGATAAAGGAGCGCTCACTGCTCCCGCTTGCTCTCCGGCGGGGCTGAGGGAAGCATCATGGCCGCGAAGTCGGACGGGCGGCGGAAGATGAAGAAGGGCGGCGAGGTGGCGTTCACGCCGCTGCAGAACTCCGAGCACTCGGGTTCCGTGCAGGCGCTGGCCCCGGGGCTGCCCTCCGGCGCCGGGCCGGGAGGCGGCAGCGACGACGACGAGGCGCCCGGGGGCGGGTGCTGCAGCGGCAGCGGCGGGGACGGCTCGGGCGGCGGCTCCCGCTGCTGCTGCTGCTGCTGCTGCGGCGGCAGAGGTGGAGACGGCGGTGGGGGTGGCGGCGGGGGCTCCCGGGGCTCGGGCGGGGGCTCGTCCTCCTTGTGCCTGCGGCTGGGCAGGGAGCAGCGGCGCTACTCGCTGTGGGACTGCCTCTGGATCCTGGCCGCTCTGGCCGTGTACTTCGCGGACGTGGGCACTGACATCTGGCTGGCGGTCGACTACTACCTGCGGGGCCAGCGCTGGTGGTTCGGGCTCACCCTCTTCTTCGTGCTGCTGGGGTCCCTCTCCGTGCAGGTCTTCAGCTTCCGCTGGTTCGCTCACGACTTCAGCACCGAGGACAGCGCCGCCACCGCCCCCGGGCACTGCCCTGCCGCCGAGAGCAAGCTGCTGGTGAGCAGCAGCTCGGCGGCCGCGGACATCGACGCCGCCCGGCCCTGCACGCCGCAGCGGCAGGCGTCCACCGCCAGCAAGAGCAACGCCACCAACAGCAGTACCAACAGCAGCAGCAACGCCGCCGGCAGCGGAGCCGCCGGTCCCCGAGCCGGCAGCGGCAGGTCGGCGTCCTGCGCCTTCTGCATCTGGCTCCTGCAGTCGCTCGTCCACATCCTGCAGCTCGGGCAGGTCTGGAGGTGAGGAGCCGGCCCGGGGGCCTGGGCGCCTCGCCGCGGGGAAGGGGAGCGCGGCCGAAGGAGGGACTGCGAGCTGTGGCCGCCAGTCCCCTCGGGATCCCTTCTCGGGACAGCGCTCGCCGGGACGGGACTTGGGGTTTTCCGGGTCCCCCCGGGGCCGGTGGTGGCCGCGGGCGCGGAGTGTTCCGCCCCGTCGAGGGGGGCCCCGCCGCGTCCCCGAACGCACTACGCCGCGCGGGCGACCGCCTCCCCGGGGGGGGCCCGAAACTTCCTGGGAAACCGGCGTGAGGGAGAAGTAAAGAAAGGGAGCAGGCGGGGGAAAAGGGGAAAACCTTGTGCGTCTCCCGGTCTGTGGCCAGGACAGAGTTGCCGCCAGCGGGGAACTTCACTGACAGGGAAGAGTTTCCTTCCAGAAACTGTTAATGAAGAGCCGTTGCTGTGTTCCGATGTACACAGCTGCCTGTATATGTGCTCCTTGCTATGCGTGTGCGTTTTGTCGGTGTGGTGTAGTAAAGAAATGTCTTCTACATGAACTTTTGAGTAGCTGCTCTCAGAAGCATCCACAAGTGATGTAATGTGTGCTATGGAAAGGATGTGCTGGAGTAGGCTGTGGAAGGCACTTACTGAAAAGGGAGGTGACGTCACAGTTTACAAAAGTAATGTTTTCCTGTATTTTAAGCATATTTCCAGGAAAGATTCATAGGTTGAATGCCCTGCAAATACATTTAGTGCTGCCTGAAAAGTGCAGAGTTCAGAATGCACAATATATAACGAGTTAAATTATCCACATAAGATAGTGGCATAGATGCTATGTTGAAGAAGGTTGTACGGCAGGACAGTGCACTAAGGTGACATCTGAAAATACTTCAGGTTTTCTTGTCTGATGTATGGAAAGGAATTCTCTCATGCTTCTGTTTTGGAAACTTTTCCCTCCCTCCCTTCTCCCCCTCCAGTTAGTTCATGAGAGTTTAATTTGTTGTTACTCTCTACTTCTAACTGGTGTTTTTGATCTCTGTCCCACCATTTTGGACAGGGCCTGGCTTTTGCTCAGTTAGTGCATTCTCTGATACAGCTCAGTTCTGCTTGTGGACTTTAAACATCAAGTAATCCAAGTGCTACTAGATAATAGACTGAAGATCCTGGGATGCTATAACTAAGTATCTTTCACTTTCTAGATTTGTTGGTTATTATAGCAATAACAGTTTTCTAAACTTGGAAAACTAACTTAAAGTTATGGGTGTGCTCAATATTAACTATGATGTGACTTAATAGGAAAGCAGGATTTTGAACTAGAAGTGGTGCTTTGGTCTGGATCTTGAATGCTTGCATGCTCCTCTATGCTCTACGCCCTCAACTGAGCACAAGTTAAATTTAGGACTTTCTGAAAGAGATGTTTTTAATGTAATGTTTAGTCCCCGTCCTGCAGAGACAGAAAAGTAGGTACAGTGGCTCAAATTGTACATAGAAATTCATTGCTGATACTCATTACTCATCCATATAGAAGACAGCATGTATCATGCTGGGTGACACAGAACAGAGTTTTGCAAAGTCTGGCGTCGTGACTGTATTGGCAAACACAAAGAGCAGGGCTTTGGGTGGAGCAGGGTGTGATATGATACTTCTGTCAGATGGGGTGCTTGGGATTTAAAGCTCTCCAGCTGCTTGCTTTTTGAGGAAGCAGAGTCTCTTTTAACGTAATATTTCTCCTTGCAGGAGCCCTTAGTCCTCTATATTTAAAGCTATCTGAGCCTCTTTTGATCATATGTAGCTTTTCTTCATCTTTTATGTGCAGTAGTGTAAGACTACCAGAATATTAGATTGACAAGGCATGTTAAGACGTTATATATGTTTTATAGTTTAGGGTTTTTTTTCCAGTGAAGCAGAGCCAATGGAATTGTTTGTCAGTAACTGAGTAGTTTTTATTTGCAGTTTTCCACCAGCATACTACAGATTATATGGTCGGTTGTCTGCAGTCTCGCATATCAGTACCTCATAATTGATTAAAGTCACTTCCTATTAATTCTCTAGATAACTTTAGTAGCCAGTAACTTAATAGTTTTTATTTGCAATTTTCCACCAACAAAAACTACATGGTCAGTTGTATGCAGTCTTGCATACCAGTACTTCATAATTTGAGTCACTTCGTATTTTAATTCCTTAGGTATATTCCTCATAAGGGAGAGCCTTTGGAGTCATCTAATAATCAGCACCGAAAAGGAAAGGTCAAAATGAACTCCTAGAAACTCTGTATGTGTCAAAACTAACTTGATCTCTAAATTTTCTGGAAAATACTGTGTCTCTTTGGACACTTAATAGCCCAAAACTTCTGCTCCACACTGTAACATTGGCACTGGCCTGAGCAAACAGCTCCTGAGCATTTAGGCTGAAGAATGACCTGAAGTGTTTCCCAGTTGCATGTGTTTGGAGACTAACTCCTTCTTTGATGCAGCTGTATATTGAAAGCCAGATCATTGAAATTGATTATGTGTTAATTTTAACTAAAATGTGCTAATGGGAAATGAATGAGGTCTTTAATGTGGCATGGAACAATGCTGGAAATAGGCAATCTAACATTGCTAAAACAATTTTTGCCTGAAGTGTAAAGAAGGGGAGCTGCAGGAGCAGCTAAGCTGCCAATCAGTTCTGAATAAAAATGTAACTTTTTTTCTTTTGAAATTGACCTAACTTTTTTTTTTTTAACTCCCACAAATTTTAAAAGACTGAATTCTTCCATTCTGGAGAATAAGCATATAAATATATATATTTTTTTTCCAGGGGCTCGGATGTTCACAGACTTCATGATAACACTATCCCTCAGTTAAAATTCCAGTGAAGTCTCCAAGGAGTTGCTTGCCACAGCTGAGTGCAGCTACTAGGGCTTTGTTGGCAGCTCATTTCATATTAAAATATGATCACCTGCCTTCAGGGAGAGTTTCAGATACATATCCTTTTCCATACTTCCAGTGTGTTCTGCTTGGGCATGGAAACCACACTGTGGACACCGTTCTCCCAAATAGGTGATGTAAGATATATGGCTTATTATTAGCAGACTCTGGGGAGCGGAAGGAAGATACAGTGCATGGTGTCTTTGCATTCCGTTGACATTAATAAAAGGACAAAGGATGCTTTAATTTATAGTCTGGAAGGATTATGTAGAGCTATATGGGCCAGTAGAATTCAGATGAACTATTGCCCTTTGAGCCTGACATCAAAATATGTGACCATGCTTTTGGGCATCCCTTTGATTCATTTGGTTTCCCAGGCTTAGCCCTGGCTTTCAGATTTTGCAGGGGATAGCAGGACTTGATGACTGGATGTAAGACATAATAGTGTTCACTTGGCATCTGTGGATGTGGTTTATGTTCTTGACAGCCTTTTTTTTTGGATAAGATTACTTTGAGCTGGCAGAATGCGAGAGCCATGCTCCTGAAGCTGAGTGAAGAAGTCCTGAGAGCTAGCCCTTGGGGAAAATGGGTTGTGGAAAGTTGGGCAGGTGAGAGGAGATTGGAGGACTTGATGATGCCCATCTTGCGGTGTCTGGAAAGCCAGAAGTAGCTCCCTGAGACAACTGTTGTACCTTGTAGAGAAATGGCGTGAGCAGGCTGTCTTGGTACTCAGGGTGCTTGGAGGTTCCCTTGGAGGTGCTTAGCTGTCATTTTGTCTGAAAAGCTGCATTTGAGTGTCTGAAAGAGACCAGTCAAGTTTCTGTAATTAACAAGGCCAAAGGAAGGGTGAAGCATTTGCAAGGACTGGAAATTGCTCTTTAAAATTATTTCTGGGTATCTCAGATGATACTGAGATGATTAAATTGAACAGAGTGAGGGGTTTTGTCTGAGATTTACTAGCTGTGTGGGAATACACCTGGAGAAGGTAGAGGAGGCGCTAGGTTAATTACTGGCCCTTCCAGGTGTCACTTGTCCAGGGCAGCTATCTGTTCCAAAGTGGGTTTGTTTTCCTGAGAAGTGATGCTATGATTTATCTATATCTGTTTATGTGTACTATTAAGAAATCATTATCTTCCTTCTCCTCCCTTGTTCTTATTCGGAAAAAACCCGAAGAGTTGGAGGAGTGTTGTAGAGGTGATGCTGGATTCTGGAAGCAGTATGAGTTGCAGTCCCTCTGGTGCCCTGGGGACGTACTTTTCACAAAGCTGGACCATCAGCCAGTGCTCATCACTCGGAAGATTCACCTTTGCAATTAGCTGATGCTCTTACAATTTCAAAAAAAAAACCAACAAAAGAAAAGGAAATGGTGTTTGTACTGTGTATGAGAAGTCCTTACACCTTCCTAAGGTCAATACTGATAGATCTATAGATATATATAGAGAGATATGTACATCTTAATAGATACACTAGTGAGCATGACTGGGCCCCTAAACTGGAATTGTGAGTCAGGTAGTTCAAATTAAGAAAAACATCATCAGGGTTTAAATCAGATCAACTCCCTCCTTAAACAGTGTCATTTGTTTTCACACTTTTGCTCTACATAGTGGTTTTGACACTTTTGTTCAGCAGTAGCGTAGGAGTTCAGTGTACTTAGGTGGTCAATAATTCCAGCTGCCATTGGACTTCACAGAGAGATGTGATATCTCAATCTGACATCAGCTTTCTAACTGTTTTGAAATCTGTCAGATAATTTGTCACATTGAGTCCAAATTTATGAATCATAGCCGTTTCCTAGACAAGATTATTGCATATCCTCCCCATCTGTCTCTTAGTGTAGCGAAATGCTACCACTCAGCAATACCATGTTTGTTTTATTGAGTTACTGCAGTGCCTGCATTAAAGTCCTACTGGCTAACTGTTTTGCTTGCTGTGTCTTCAGGACTCAGGAAAGGTGATGGGCTCTCAAAGATAGGAATTAGAGTTATCTTTTTTTTCTCTTCCCCTCAGAAAGCAGGATTAGAAGGGGCAGCCTACCCTGTAGGTGTCCTGGCTACATTTTAATTTTGATAATACATTCAGCAGAATGAATATTATTTTTTTCTTTTTCCTTTTTTT